AAATACTATCTAATAAATGTCATGACATACCTGCTGACCCCAAGATGAAATTTGGAGACTTTTTACTTCCCTTATGTGTCTCCATCCAACCAGTGGTGAATTAAAATAAGCCTCAGTTTCTCATCATATTATTGCCTCAGGAAAATAAAAATCTTTTTATAATCAACTAGACGTTCCTACAATAACTGTCAATATTTAGTTCATTTCAAAGGTACAGTAGGGCATAGAGTAAAGAATATTAAAGGGTGTTTTTTAAACAGACTTTTCAGTATTTTTTGTGTTTTTGTGTAAAATTTGGAATATCTGAAGCTACCTACCCACAACTAAGAGTTTATTCTGACATTTTCCGTGCTGATGATCTGAGAATAAACAGATAAATGTGTTTCTACAAAGGAAAATCTAAAGACCAAACATGAAGATATTAAAACAATTAGATGTGGTTTTTCATCTGAGTTCTGGTTGAAAGGAACTGCTGCTGAGGGTTCCCTGTTGAGGAACAACAGCTCCGCTTTGAGGGTTCTTACCAACACAATAGGCAGCCATCAGAAACCCCGCTGAGCCCGCTAAGACCTGGAAATCCTGCGCCTTGGTTCTGTGAACAATCAGGCCGATCCGTGTAATCTGAGGAAACATGAAGGAAGAAAACAGAGAAAGAGAAACACGTCAAAAGAAGAAGCATTACAGCGTCGGCTCCTTCCAGCTGCCAGAGCAAATATCTGTGAGTGTAGTTTGACTCCCAGGAGAGGTTCCCACAGGAGACTACAACACGCCTAACATCGCACAGGAGTAAACAAATCGCTCAGCGAGGGACGAGCATCGTCTCCTCACCGAGCCGAGGTTTTTTTGGAGGAGGGGATCGTTCAAGATCCGAAACAGAAGAGGGAGGAGAAGAAATGATGAAAAACAGATGGTTCCCACGAGAGCCAAAAGATGAGGATTTAACTTCAAACGGTGGTTAGTGGAGAGGATGGGAGACGCTCATGAATACCACCTCATGAATATCAGACCCATTTCTGTGTTTGCCTCTTGCAACTTTCTTTTGTCAGTCTACAAACTGAAGCCCAGACTCCAAATAAAGCTGCAACGTTCAAAGGAAGCGCAGGCAGAATGTGTGGCTGTGAGCTCCGCAGGGAAAACCTGCCGAATCTTGCCTCAGCCTCCATTAGTGTTCCCACAGAGCGTGTATTTTTAACCGCAGCCTGTCACTCACTTTCCTCATATTAGTCATTTCAAACATGCAGGACTATAATTGATCAGTCAGTCAATCAGGTTATAGGAGCTCCTGCTGGTCGCCTGAAAGCTAGAGCAGTCGGGTTATGTAGATAAAGCTCCCTAATGGGAGAAATAATATCGCAGGAAGACTGTCGTCTCCCCAGGTGTCCGGAAAACTTATTAGCTTTTATTTTTCTTTTAAGTGTAATTATTGCTGTGAGCATGCAACGTTCAACTTGAAGGGCATGGGAAAACATACCTGTTTGCTTCATGAATTAAGCATTCTTTATTGGGTTCAGCTACACATCTAGTTATCATCTCCCATCTGGTATCTAGGAAAGTTAGGATCATCATATGTTCTCTTATTTCTTCCACAAAAAGAGGATTTCTTATAAGTAAAATGTCCCAGTTGTTCAGGATGTCTATGTAAAAACTGAAAGAGCATTAAGGATGACAGATAACTGGCCAGCTGGAAAAAAAAGAAAGTGTTGTATTTCTGATCCACAAATGCACCACAGCATTCACATCAAACTCCTTTGAGTGTCGGGGCAGCTGGATAACGTGCAAAATCTATGGCCTCTTCACTTGCTATTTTTATGTCCCTTCTTAAGACTCATCTTTTTTCCTTGGCTTTTGGCTCAATTTGAGAGGTTTTACTTTGTTTTATTCTGTTTGTATACTAATAAGTATTTTACACTCTGTTTTTTTTCTATTTTATAATTTTATCGTATTTTATGATTGTGTACAGCACTTTGGTCCTGCCTGGTGCATAAAGTGCTTCATAAATAAAGTTGCTACGGTATGGTGAGCATAATATATGGATCAAAGTGGCGCCTCGCTAATCTGACTCCGCCAGATGGATTTGCTCCACATATCCATCTGGAAACCTTCCTTTGAAGTAATTTTGGGAAGGGGCGAAAA